AAATATATATATATATATATATATATATATATATATATTTCAAAATAGTAGGAGTCCTTTTTATAGGCAACAAGTACACAACTAGAGTAAATATCACCATAAAAGAAATAAACATAATAGTAAAAAATTCCTTAAAAATAGTAACTAATATCCCAATAAAGTAGGACAATTATTAACCGGTAAAAACATAATAAAATGTTACTAAACAAAAAATGTCAACAAACACTACTACTAATATTCTTTTAATAACACAAAGTTATAACAATCTTTAAGAATTACAACATAAATGCTAATAGTTCTTCAATAATAAGACTACACCACAATATAAAATGACACATCATAAGTTACAAAAAATATATTAAAAATAATATTTAATTAATAGACTTACGGACCAATCCGCATCAGTCTGCCACATGATCTGACATACTAATAGGTTAGATAAGACGAGTTGACAAGTCAAAATGTCCACCTCGACTTGTAAATTTTTTTGCTAATTGATACTGTTTAGTAAGTTGTAACCCATTTTATGGCCCTAATTTATATGTCTCATAAAAAATAAATGTAGGTTGAAGAGTTTCCTAAAAGGCCACAGCCTGAATGCATCTAGTTTAAAAGAAATGGGTATTGTAGGCCTAAATCTATGTTTGGATTTAACCATCCAAAGAATCGATTTGGAAGATTACCTCCATCATGCAACCTCAATGACAAGAGTCTTCCTTCAATACTAAGTTTTTTTTTTTAAAAAAAATTATTTTGCTTACATGTAGATTTGTAAAATTTAAAAGCTTTTTCTTACTTTTTTTTGTAAAAATTAATAGGTTGTAACGATAATGTTGTGATGTTCGTAATGTAATAATGTTACTAAAAAATAAATGGTACAAGGGGCACGAAGAACATATTCATGATAGGTATGAAAAGTTCAACCTATGTTATTTTTGTCTCCGAAAAAGAATTTGAAAAATGGTTCTAACACTACAAAAGATATTTGGTTGTGGATTTGATGGGTAAAAGAGTGGGATTCAAGGTTACTATGCAAGTAGGTGAAGAAATGAGAGGTTTATATCATGGACTTGCCTAAAGATCACTACCTAATGTCACTCGGAAATGAATGGTACAAGGGGCATGAGGAACATGTTCATGACAGGTATGAAGAGTTCCACCTATGGCCCCGTTATTTTTGTCTCCAAATAAGAATTTGAAAATGGTTCCATCACTACCGAGGATCTTTAGTTGTGCATTTGATTGGTAAAAAGGTTACTATGCAAGCGAGAAAGAAATGACAGGTATAAATCACTGATGCGCCTAAAGTCACTACCTCATTGTTTTTTCCTCAGAAAAAGATTACCAATTGAGGTGAGCAAATGAATCTTGGACTGTGGGCTGACTCGCTTAACCCACAACCCGCGCAAGCCTAAGCCTGGTGAGAGCTGGCCCATAAAATGGGGTCTATGTGGATTGGTCTGCTAGCTTACAGGTTAAATGAGTATGGTTTGTTGGTTCAAGAGCTAAGACATTACATAAACATACATGTGTGTCAATATATGATTTTTTTTAAAAAGGATTAAGTTAGCAGATTATAAAAATAATATTTTTTAAAATATTTCTGGATGTAACCTGTTAATTTACTTTTTCTTAAAAATAAGTAGGTGTAAGTTAATAAATATTTGTAAAATTTATTAATATACAACATTTCTTTTTTAGAATGAGTATATTAATAAGTTACAACAATAATATTTTTTTAAAAAACATGTATTTTAGTATAGCTTGTTAGCTTACTCTTTCTAAAAAAGAAATAGGTGTAAGTTAACAAATCTCATAAATTCACTTACTCCATTTAATAATTTATATTCTATATCAAATTTTAACTATCTAACCATTAAATATCTTTAAAAATTAATATTTATAGTCCCCTAAAATCTTGATATATGGGCTTACTTTTGTATGATTACAACTTATTTTTGTTTAATATTATTAAACAAAAATTTGGTCAAAAACTTTAAATGACTTATATTTTTATAAAATTAACCCTTTGCGCCTTTTAATATACCTAAGAGATCCTCTCTCAAAATCATATACAAAATTGGCCTTTGTTCATTGTTGAAGTATGAATTTGGGGTTGGAAAACCCGAATTCACGCCTAAATTTTGATGTGTTTTTTTATACAATTTAGAACTTGAATTTCACAAAATTGAATTCTAAACAAATATTTTTAAATTTTTAAATAAAAAATTATATTTAAACATCATATTTTAACTCAAAATTTGCCACAGTCCAAACATAGAGCTAAAGGAAAAAAGGAACAATACAAATATTGTTCCCCTTATCAAACCCCAAGAAATTTGAAAAACAAATGTCCTCACTATTGGAAAGTTCTAATTCACTCTAATAATATTCATTTTCATTGTTGTATTTATACATTGTTGTATTTATCGTAAGTAAAAAAAATTAATTAAATGATAACAAAAATTAATATTTAGTTACATTTTATGATTTATTATGTTGATAAATTATATCAGTCATTAATTAATCTCATCGTCAAAATTATGCAAGATAAAATTAGTTTAAAAAAAATGCGGAAAAATAGAGACATGAAAAATTAAAAAAAAAAATCATTAAAATGCCAAAATATATATTTTAAAAAATAAATATATGATTTTTTCTCTATTTAAAATATCAATTAATTCCGTCATCAAATTTATATGATCCAAAATAATTATAAAATAATTATTTTAAAAAAATAAAAAAGATTTTTTCGGTATTAAAATATTTTAAAAATTTTGCATAATAAAATTATTCATCTTTAATTTATTTATAATGTCTTCTTATATAACTTATAGTCTTATACTACAATATATTTAATATATATTAAATATATTATAAACTATTTAATTAAAATAAAATAAATGAGTAGATTTATTTTTAAATATAATAAATTTAAAAATATTTTAATCTAAAATTGGAATACATAAATAATTAAATTTCATTATTTTATTTAATAATTATAAATATTATTAAAAACAACGCTAAATTTTTATTTGGGTAATCACATGAATTCTAAACAGATTTATAGAATTATTAAAAAAAATTGAAGGTGTGGATTTGGTTCGGAACAACCAAATTCACACCATGAAGTGTTGTTGTGTATTTGGTTAGATAAATTGTTAAAATGTGTAATGGGGTAAATTTAGCTTGTTTTTGTGTATGTGTAAAAAATTCACAAATTAACGTAATACTTGCGTTGCATATCTATATATAAAATTGTAATTTATATTAATAATATTAAGTTAAATAAAAAAAATAATAAGTATAATATATAGGATGGCAAAGACATTCTGTAGGAGTGAGTAGTAGGGTATTCACTCTTGTCGTGTTAAATAAAAATTTATTATGTAACTGTCTCATATATGTGAGTATCCGTCAATCAGATACCTACAAAATTTATAATTATTTGTAGATATTTATTGATATTTGTGAACTTTTAATTTTTTTTAAAAAAGTATCACAAATAAATGTTAGCTTGTATTTGATGTTAATAATATTATAATATTAAAGACAAGAAATTAACATTAATTTTTGAAATTATATTTAACTTTAATGTTGTTGAAATGTTAAAATAATATAAAAAATGTCGGATAAAACATGAATATTTAAGTAATTTTACCTATCAGGTACCCGTAGATAAAAATACTACATACTTATAACAACGGTGAGATTTAGATGTTTTAATTTTAACTAAACGATTAAATGTTGCTGTGTTGTTAATGTTGTGGTTTTAGAACTACGGAGTTGACTCTAAGAGTTAGATTGGTCCCTAAGTTAGTTGAGTTAGAGTTAAGTTAGTTCAACTCTAAGAAGGGTATATAAGATTTTTCTTAAGACATTAATCTCATAAGTTCATATTTTAAAAAGTCCTAGAAATAAGTTAGAGAGAAGTTTTTTGAACCCAAGTTTTTATTCTCCTTCTTCTAAATTGAGACCCATGTCTTCTTCCTTTCTTATAACTGATTTGCTTGACTAATTTGAAGATTAAAGGCCCATAGCTAAGAACCTTAGTTGGTGGGAGTCGTACGATGACCTAAAATTCTTCCTTTTCTTCCTCCTTATGCTTGGAGTTGAGGTAAAGGAAGCTTTGTGATTTGATTTGCTATGTTGAATGCTTACTATTGTTGTTGAAATTCATCACTTGCATGACTGAATTAGTGAAGATTGTGGATTTAAGTATTGTTGAAAAGTGCTCTTGAAAATGGTGTTTCTTGAGTAGATTGGTGAATTTGGTGTTGGATGATTGCATGTTGTATCTTGAGTTGGTTTGGTGTTGTTTATGGTGTATATATGTTGTATGTTGTGTTGCATGTTGTTTTGGTTGGTTGGATTGCAGGTTGAGTCATTTGGTGATTCTACTATGTGTAAAATGAGTATCGCATTGAATTCATTTTCATTGTGTTAGGCATGACACAAGTTAGGTGGCTCTCTACCCTAATCATGCGAGGCACATAATTGGTCTCATCGAGTGTGGATCAGTGAGAAGTCCTTTGACTTGGTCACACCAGGTGTGGAACAAGTGGTATCGAGTGTGAAAACTCGAGAATTCTTTAACTTGGTGATGTTGAGTCCCAAAGGTGTGGTGCTCGACGTGATCAAGCCAATGGATCACTACCTAAATGACGCCAAACGTAGGTTAAATGGCATCGGACGTGAGTTAGGTAGAAACTCTCTAATTGATTGAGGCTGGGTGTGGGTTTTGCCACACTAAGCATGGGAGACATACAGGTTCTCTGCCTCACCCACACCGGGCATATGAGGATTGATGTTGGGCATGAGTGGGACAACAACCTCTTTGTCTCAATGCATCGAAGATGCTTAAAATGATGTCAGGCGTGATATATTAAAGTGAAGGATGATGTTATAAGTTGTTTACACGCTGAAGTAAGATGAATTGTTTATTTGAATATGATATATGATGATGTTTAAAGTTTTCTATGATGAGAATTGATCAAGCTGATTAAGTTGAAAGATGTTGATGTTAGTTGTAGTTGATAAATGATGAAGTTGTATAAATTGTATGATACTATAGTTGATTGAGTTGTTAAGTTGTTAGGCGTGTAATATAAATACATGTCTTTGTTGAGATACATAAAAAATAGAGTAGAGTAAACAATTGTTTTATAAATTAAAATATCTCATTGTACAGATATAAGTTGCGGTGCTCTAAGAGTCAAAGTTGAAACCTTTCAGTAAGTAAGCTGACATTCTGAATGGATAGTTATTTTTAAATTGTCTTTTCTAAGTTTTATGTAGTATCTGTATATGGGTAAGGTCGATGCAAGTGTATATAAAGCGACCAATCGAGTAAAATACAGTGTTAGAGACTTAGTCCCTAACCTAGTATTAGAGGAATATAGTATTTGGAGTGTAGTCGGTGGGCTAATCCTATATGTTGCTTAGTGTTGCAAGTTAATGTCGTGGTAGGTTCACACTCAAACTATTCTACCTTAAAAAATTATTAGACTTCTTAGTTTAAATGACAAAACCTGAGAAATCAAAATAAGTTGTTAAATAAGTTCTCTAAGAGGCCTAAAGTTGTCTATATCTAACCTAGTTGTGATAGGTCAAAAGTTATGGTTCAGTAAGATCTAACCACTTAAATTGCTTATCTTTGTTGTAGGAGATCTTTGTAATGGATATGTAGGACAACACATTCAATGCTTACTATTGTCTATGTTGATGATGTTGTAATGTTGAAGTTGTTAAGATGTGTTGTGGTGTTGTAAGTTGTTGAGATGTTATTTATAAATTGGAAGTTGATATGTAGAGTTGCATGCGATGTTGATAAGGTTGTTTATGGTGTATTGTTATAAGTCGATGTTGTATATTTATGGTGTTTTTGTTTCACAAGCTTACCTTATGTTTTTCTTGTGGTTGAAACTACAATGATCATACTTTGTATGAGAATAAAAAATAATTAGCAAAATGGCTTAATTAGTTGGAGGGTCACACTAGTAGTGGCTTGGTTTTGATGTTGTTACTATGTGTGTAACAATTATTGTATAGACGCTTGTTCGTCGAATATGGTTTATTTTGTATACAATTATGTATTTAATGTAGATTTTATGTGTACAAGGTATGTGTATAACCTTGTTGAGGGGATTTATATCTTAAGTTGTTTTATATTTTTTACCCTATAATGTGTACTTTATATTTTTAAGTTGAGTAGAAAAATATATTTATCCATTACTTGTAAATATTTATTTACATTACGCATTTATTATCTGTAACAAATTTTATATGTAAATATGTTTTTTTTCTACCATTCTTAATAATACTCTTACCACCCATAAGAAAATAATATAATTTACTCTAAATTTTATCATTAAAAATGTTAAAATAAATATTTGCAAATTAAAATATAATTTTTTATTTTTAAAATTTAAAATCACAATATAGTTTAAATTTAAATTTTTAAAAAGTTTAGAATTTGATTTTGGGAAAGCCGAATTGTAAACAATATATAAAAGACACGAGTCCAAATTCAAGTGTAAATTGGGGGTGAAAGAGGTATATAATTTTGGGTAAATTAAAAGGTAAACAAGACCAGTTTTGTGAAAAAATGGAAATGTCCCACGACGCCGTATTGGAATACGTAGTGGGTTCACAAGGTACATGCACCCATACAATGTACAATATACATACAGAAGAGAGTGCCAAAGTACCAACATACTCACACTCACACACACTATCCCCATTCACCCACAAAAAAGTAACCTCATTTCACACTTGCTCATTCTCATTTTCTGATTTTCTCACATAAAAGCTAAACCCTTTTTTCCTCTCCCTTCTGTCACTCTTATTGGTTTCAGCAATCAATCAATATCCCCATTATTAGGGTTTTTCATTTGAAATGTGGAGGGACAGCAATGGAGCCCTCTGAATCCGAATCAGTTAGTTCCTCCACCAAAGACCCGCAATTGGGTGAACCTTCTTCCCCTGTTCGGCCCCTCGATCACGATCCTCAGCCTCCAGATCTCAATCACGTTACCCAGGTCGATGATGCACTTGCTGGGGAGCTTCAGAACAAGGTGGATTTGAAGGATGGGGATGAGACTGAGAATAAAGGTTCGAACTTGGAAGGTGGGGATGAAAAATTGAGTGATGAAGCTGCTGCTGCTGCTGCCTCAGAAGATGGTAAGGGAGAAGGGTGTGTTGATGGTGGTGGTGTTGTGGTTGAAGATGATGGTGGTGGAGGTGGTGGTGTTGTAGTTGATGATGATGATGGTTGGAATGGTGGTGATGAGGGGTGTGATTGGATTGAGAATGTGAACGAGAGTGATAAGGTGGTTGGAGATGTTGATGGAGTGGAGAACAAGGATGAGAGGAGCAGTGGTAGAGCTCAACAGTACCCCTTGAGGCCAGAGGCTGAAGACTGTTCATTTTATCTCAAAACTGGGACTTGCAAATTTGGATTCAATTGCAAGTTCAATCATCCTCTAAGGAGGAAAAGCCAGGTATATCTTTCTTTTGTTCCTTACTCTCTAGCACAGTATTACTAATTATCAGTGGAATGACTGAATTGGGAAGAAAAACATTTTGTCTTTGTTGCTGAATATAGTAGTTTGATATTAGAAGGGCTGGTACTTGCTTTTCACTATGACTGATACTTAATAGTCAGTTGTAAGTTCCGAAGACTTTGCTTGGTAATTTTGCTTGTAAATGTTTTTAGGTATTTTTCTCGAGTTAATCACCTATACACCATCGATGTAAAGTTTTTTTACACCGGCAACCAATCATATATTTTAATAGTGACATGTCAGTTGCTTATTTAATGAAATAATAATAAAATAAGCAACTTTAAAAGATATGATTGGTTGCTAGTGGACAAAACTTTACATTGACAGTGTAGGGATGATTAACTCATTTTTTTCCCTATATAGTTTTCCTTAACATTAAAAGTTTTTCTCTAAGGATTTTTTGTCTGGGTGAAAAAAAGGCAGGGAGTATTATATCAACGGGTTGTAACTATTTGATGATTGAACATCAATTTCTGGAGCATTTTATGAATGCAAACGTCTTATACCATGTTCACTTCTTTAAAAATCTGAGATTTTGTTGTATTAACGCTAAATGAAGGCTAAAAGAGACAATGCGGGAGAAAGAGAAGAACAGGCCGAAAGATCAGGCCAGATGGAATGCAAGGTATTTTCAAAATTATGGTGTTAAATTTTGTTGCAAATTAGTTTTTTTTTCCCTTCTTGTTTTGTTTTCCCACAGGGATTTTCCAAAGGAGCCCAATGCATGGTCTGGAACTAAATATGAGCAATTCTCTCAATGTGGATTCGAACCCTGTTCACCACTTTATGGGAGATTAGACCATTCCTCTAAACTTAAACCCTGTTGGTTTGCAGTTGCTAGATTTAAATTTTGTATTATCTGAAATTTTAACATAGGCTCAAATGTTGATTCTAAAGTCTAGAAATTTAGGTATCAATATATTCATATGAGACGCCAACTCCAAAGACGGAAGAGGTAGTCCTCTGGATGAGCAACCAAATAGAAAGAAAAATAGGTAATAAAACTGAAATAAAAGGGCCAAAAGGGTCCCAGATTGCAGGAGACACCCTCTACCAGACCTCTCAATATTCTCTACCCTAACAGACTCCCCAAGATCTTTTTAATTTTCCCTTCCCTGCTGGTTCTCAGAATCTCAATCATTTCCCGCTGATTCTCTCCTTAGAATTTGCAAGCCGTCCTTGTGTAACAGACTTCTCTTTTGTCTATTCCTTCTTATGGTCATAGGTCATTTCTCAATTTTTCCCCAAGTGACCCATCCTTTTTGTTATGCCTGTTCTTTCCCAGTCCTTGTCTCTTTCTCCTATATACCTGGGCCAAGGGTGTGTTAGCTGATTAAATGTATTTATTAGAATATAGGTTTGCTAGCTCAATGAAGTTTTCTTTGGAAGATTGTGTAAGGTTAACTTGAGGGGGTTTAACCATATATGTGACTTTATATTCTTCATTTTCTTTAGTTACATGGAGATAATTGATTATATGTATGTCATGCATTTAATTTTTGATACTTCCATATTATTGTCATTTAATCCCTTTGCCACTAAGGGAGAATGGATTTCATTAGTTAATGTAAACAATCATCTACTCTTAAGTTTGAATTTGACCTGGTGATTGATATAATCAGGAGAAATATTATTCTCTATTAGAATTCCATGATCAATATGCAGAACTCAGTAGTCGTCAGGTGGTTGAGAGTCAAATGATATCTTTTTTAGTTATACATTTTCTGATTAGGCATTGGTGTATTCTATCTATACTGTGTTAATTAGCCATGGACTGGTAATGCAAAATGAAAATTCTGTCATGATGGATCATGACATATTTGTTTGGTTATTTCTGTGATGCTATATTAGTATATGTTTAGCCATTGTGAACTGTTTTTTTTTTTTTTTTTTTTGGCATTTGTGCTCATGCTTGCTATGTTGAAAGAGCATTGGATCTCTGTAACAATTTTTGGATGAAACATGCTTGTATATGTATGTGTTTAATCTCTTTCTTAAGTCATGCCTTAAACTTGTCCTACTATTTATTCCATGTTCATAACAGCATTTTCTTTTCCTGATGTTATGGCAGTATTATTTAAGGTCTGGGGGGTGTAAGTTCGGAAAGGCTTGTAAGTTTAATCACACAAGAGGAAAGTGTTCAGCATCCCCAATTGCAGAGCTTAACTTCCTTGGCCTGCCTATTCGAATGGTATAACCTTACTTTCTTACTTAGCAAGTTATGCTGAAAGTTAGTTTTTGTATGCCATATTTTGTCTCCATGCTATCTGAAATATTTGTCCCTAAAACTTGATGTTTTCATGACAGGGAGAGAAAGAGTGCCCCTATTACATGCGCACAGGCTCTTGTAAGTTTGGAGCAAACTGCAAGTTTAATCATCCTGATCCTACAGGAGGAGGTGATTCTCCTTCCGGTTATGGTAATGGAAGTTCTATTTCATTACAAGGTGTATCACAATCATCTATATCCCCATGGTCTTCTACTAGAGCATTAAATGAATCTGCTCCTTATGTTCCAATGATACTTTCACCTAATCCAGGGGTTTCTCCCCAAAATTCTGAATGGAATGGATATCAGGTAAATCAATAGATTAAAAGCAAATAACTGTCTAGTTCATTTTATTTATTTTTTATTTTATATATTATCAGTATATGATGGCAAATTAATCTGCAAATTTTCTATCATACAATGTTAATGTTCTCTGTTCCTGCAACATATAGTACATGGTGAGATATAGTTATCGGTTGGCTATTGACACACTTGTCTATCATTCCCAGTTTTGTGTTATTTGTAAAGTAAATACTAAATACTGAATAGTGGTGCAAGTTTTATGCTATTTAAGGATTTTATTTTATATGCCCATCATCAGTTACTTGAAAGTCAAAGACTGTTTTCTTTCTTTAGGCTCATTTTTGCTTTCCTCTGCTCTCTCATTTTCTTAGCTTACTGCTTGGTAATAAATCCTAATGTTCTTTACTATTTGTTATTTTGCTGCTTGTCTTGATTCTTATGGGTCTGACTTTGATCTATTGGATTTAAAGCAAGAAACCTATTGTTATTTTTCCCCTCCGTTTCTTGAGTCAAATATTCTGCTTTTTAACTCTTATAATTGATTGATCTCCCAGCAATTTGATCAATGTGTGGTTTGTACAGGCACCCGTCTATCTATCTGAAAGGAGCCTGCATCCATCTTCAACATATGTCATGAACAATCCAGCTATGGAAACAAATGTTTATATGCACAATCAAAAACAAATGCAGGTTGAAGAGTATCCAGAAAGGCCTGGTGAACCTGAATGCAGCTATTTCTTAAAAACTGGGGATTGTAAGTTTAAATCTAATTGTAAATTTAACCATCCAAAGAATCGGATTGCAAGATTACCTCCATGCAACCTCAGTGACAAGGGTTTACCGTTGAGACCGGTAAGTTATTTTATTTTGTGCTTATATGGCGATTGTAAATACTAAAATTTCAACTTATTTTCTAATTTTTCTGAATTTGGCAGAATTAGCATGATATTCTTTTTCTAATATAAAAATTTGTGGTAGCTTTAATAGTTCGTTCTTACTTTGGTTACACTGTCTCTCTGTTTAGTTTTCATTTCTTTACACATTTGAAAGAAATTATTTCATGAGAACAAAAGAGAAAGGTTTTGCTGTGTTCACATTGTGAAAAGCTGTTGGTTAAAAACAAGAAAAGGTTAAGTGCAACAAGCTCATTCAGATTCAAAATAATTGTATCATAACACTTTTTTAATTGTTGTTTAAGCTTAGGAAGATAGGCCGGAGACTTGAATTGGTTAGGTACACCCGAAAAAATGAGCTGAAAAATTAATTGATGATTTTTATGAGCATGAGAAACTCCATCCTGATGTTTAAAAGTGTACTCAACAGATCTTAGAAACCTTGTTTTGGTTGATATGCATGCATTAATGTACATGTATCATGTATATGTTCAAGGGGTTCTTCCAAGTTCTAGGATATGAGGTGATTGTACAAATCTAAGTTCTTTAAAATGGAATTAACATGGCCATGCATTTTAGAGATTATTGCGTTTCTGATTTGGTAAAGACAATATCTTTAAGAGTATTTTATTGGTCATGACATAATAATCTAGACATGGTAGTTTCTCTTATCTATATTTGGATGTGTTGTGAAATTCAGGACCAAAATGTTTGCACATATTACAGCCGTTACGGACTTTGCAAATTTGGACCAGCTTGTAGGTATGATCACCCAATAAACCCACCACCCTCAACTATGTCGGGACTTGATCAACAATCCTCGTACACAAACTCGGCCAGTGTTGATGTGGCTGAAAATGGAGGTGCCAGTGATGGGAATCAGCTGTCCGTCTAACCATTTTCTAGCTTGGAGTATGCATATCACTCATAATTTGTAATTTTCTTCTTAAAAAAACATGATAAATTTATTTAATTTCACTAGCCATGCCTAATGTGGCACAAACTTTGCCGAATAGCAATATATATACCTAATAGAAGTTTTACAGTAACATGTAGATTATCTTTTGCTTGTTTGTTTTCTTTCACTTGGATCATTATTAGATTATGGTTGTGCTGGTGTAAAATGGGTGTGAATGTGAATTTTGTTGTTTATCTATCATGGTTGCCAATTGATTAACAAAACCACATAGCTGACAGTAAATGGTATTGTAGTTTTTTAGTTTACAAGGGATTGAAATTTTTGTCTCGAATTATTTTATCCTTTTATCATTGGTGAGAGTGCAGTCTACAAGGTTAAATATTTAATTTACAATTTTTTTCAACAAGAAATGAGGTTATCATTCATGTAGCATGTCTCCAATTATACTGAATGCCATGTGTACAAACTTGAGATCTGTTTGGCTTGAAAATAATTTGTATATTTAGTATTTAATAATGAGAACAGAATTTTTCCAAAAAGGTTTCAATTGATTCGGTGGCACTTGCACCCCTTTCAGAATTTTATAATCAAATTACAATCTAGCTGGTTGAGGATTTTTTAATGTAATTTTTATTTAGATTTGTATAAGAGTACTTGAGATTTACAAATGTTTCCTTTCATTCATTGATGGCAACTGCTTAGTACGTCACACAAAGGTATTAAACTGTTGGAAAGTTCCTCTTCCAAATCAGAGAAGGGCCTTAGATTAGAATAATCATCATCGTTTGTCAATTTGAAAATCAATTGTTTTTAAGTAGCTTCAGAATTTAAATGTTGAAAGCCATTTTTCATTATTTTATAAGTTAAACTTCTGAACAACAGAATTATATTCATTGATAACGACATAGTCATCAGATTTTTTTCTAAAAATAAAATAAAATTGAGGAGCGTGAATAGATAAAGCAAGAAGGTAGGAAAATGATTTTCAAATTCTGGTACCGGAATCCCCCAAAAAAAAGAAGAAACAACTAGAAAAATAAAATGAAACGGCCAATAAAAAGGCAAATCCAAAACCAAAAAATAAAGATAGAAAGAAAAGGAATGAAGAGAAACTTATAGCCTCTATTACTCAAAAAGAAGCACAAGCATACTCGATAAACAAAGTCAGGTTAGAGATTTTTATTTTTTATTTTTTTAAAAAAGTCACAATTTGATCGTGGCAGCTGAAATTGACAGAATATTGGAGAACAAATCCCATCTTGACAGGTTTAATATTTATCAATCTCAAATAGTGGCACTGAGCAACTCTAAAACCCTAGTAGAAAGAGATAAATATTATTTCAAACTTTGAGCATTATAATATAAATTAACTAATTTATACTACATATAAATATTCTAAAAAAAATAATTGAAGTAATTCATGATAAGTCACAATTTACTCACAATCACTATCAAATCTAAGAGTAATATCAAAGTAATAGAAAATAAAAGGATAATGGGTGAATTAAGGATGCAATGTATTATTTTAGGCCTTTATCTTAATATGACAATTTATTTTAGTTCTTTATTTCTTAAATATTCATTTTAGTCCCTTAACTTTTCAATCTGAACAATATTACCTTCCAAAATTGTGAATATTATTTTTTTTTAAACAAGATTTTAAATCTAATTTTGATTTGTTCAAGATGTAGAATTTCTCTTACTAAATTCATCTATATGAAGATTAAGAAACCCATTAATATTCAAACTAAATAGTTATAAATATAGTAAAAATTGAGTACAAAATAAATCTCACAATCAAACAACAAAGAATATTAGATTTTAGTTTTCTAGTTCCTTGTAAAACTCACTTTTCTTGCTATTTTCGTGTTCATGACCATTTTAACTTGAAAATCAGTTAGCTTACACAGTTTTGTATGTAAATCTAACAAGGCTAGTTTCACAAATCAAATAAGTAGAAAAGAAATCAAAATTGCACCATAATAGAGAGCAATCATTATTTAGAAAGGAAAAACATTAACTCAAATATAAAAGTTAAGTGGTCAAAAATGACTCTTCCAAAGAACAAAGGATAAAAAGAATTTTCACACTATAATAAAAGGACTAAAAGCATATTTTAACATAAAAAATAAAGGCTAAATACCTAATCTGGTCCCTCATAATATTTAAAAATTTTAATTTGGTCCCACTTTAATTTTTTGTTTCAATTTAGTCCCAAATAATTTAAAAATACATCAATGTGGGACTTCCGTCCAAATTCCACAAACGGTGTTTACAAGAGTCCTACGTGGCTTCCTTTCCTGCGTGGCTCCATTTCTGGCGTGAGAGAAGAATCATTCATTATTCCAACGTGGCTTCCATTCCCGCGGGAGAAAAGAGAAGAATCGCTACATTCGTGAAGAAGAAGTTGTGGAGAAGAGGAATCGTTGATTGTGAGTCACTGGTAAGGACTTGGTGAAGAAGACGAACTCGGGTGTGGATCCTATTGACATCGAGTAAGTGTTTTTTTAGGGGTTTTTGATTTAGGGTTCGAGTAAGGGTATTATTGGGTTGTTGTTGGGAGATGGGTTTTGGTTTAGTGTTTGAAATCATGTGGGGCTAAAAATTGGGTTTTTAATAAAGGGTTTTGGTTCAAGTAAGGGTATTTTTCACAATTTGAATTTTTTAAATTAACCAAATTATTGTTTATAATTAATGAAAATATTGGTTTCAGTTGGGCTGGAGATCAAGTTTTTGAGGTCTAGAATGTCAACCTCATAGGAGATAAATATACTATAAACTTGCAAACCCAGGAATGTAGCTGTAGAAAATGGTTGTTGATAGGGCTACCTTGCTGCCATCCTATATCATGTATGAGGTACATGAATTTGGATCCAAAGGAGTTTGTGCCAAACTATTACAAGAAGGCGGCATATGAGGCTGTATATGAATCAATGATATATCCAGTAAATGGACAGCAACTATGGACAAAGACATGGTGCACTAATGTTCTTCCACCGCCATCAAAGAAAATGTCAGGACACCTTAAGAAAAGAAGAAATTTGGAGCCATGGGAACTAAAAAAGGATGAAACTCAATTGAAAAGAAATGGATATAGGAGAAAGTGCAGTAGGTGCAAAGGTTTTGGCCATAACATATCTACTTGCAAGGAAGCACCTCATCCCACCCAACAATCTCAGCCAAGCCAACCACCTGAGCCCACCCAACCAAGTCAGCCCACCCAACCAACTCAGCCCAACCAACCAAGTCAACCCACCCAACCAACTCCAGCCACCCAACCATCTTAGCGATCTCAAGCAGGCCACCCACCTCTAACATCTAAGGGAAAGAAAATAATAACATCTGACACAAATAAGATTTTTAGGGAGAAGTTGAAGCCTAGGAAACCATAATAGAAACCATGACAAAGTTGAAGACTAGGGTTTAGGTTGAAATAGACAATATTTTTTGTTTAAGATAATTTGATGATGTATGTAGTATTTTCTTTTTATGACAGTGTTGTGTATGATTATTTGAAGTGTTAGTTATAAAACATTATTGAAGTTTGGTGTCAAATCAAATTTCACCTTCATGCTATCATTGTATACTTAACTTCTATTGCCTTTAACTTAAATTAACAATTAATTGCATGTCATTAACAAGTGGTTTTCATCTTAGCTCAGTCAAAATTGATTTGGCAATGGGTAGAGGCAATTGGTCAGTTAAAACACAAAAAATTGCATACACAAGGCCGCGAGAATCACGCCCGTGAATCCAAATCACAGCCGTGATTCTCTTGGAGGATGAAATTCAAAATGAATAAGACTCATAGGGCCGCGAGAATCACGCCCGTAAATCCAAATCACGATCGTGATTCTCTCGGTCAATAAAACACAACAAAGTTGCACTCACAGGGCCGCGAGAATCACGCCCGTGATTCCAAATCACGACCGTGATTCTCTCGGCTGACAGGAAACAAATAAAATCTTCTAATATGCTGCGAGAATCAAGGTGTGATCTAAAACTCGCGTATCACTCGTGGAAGGCACAAAAAACCCTATTAGTATGTATTTAACTTTTTTAACTTCTAAAACCATATGTACTCAAGTCTTTGAACATTTAGCGCTTAATATATGTATTTCTATCATTATTTGTTTGGTTCCACGTTGTTGCACAATTACTTTTACTCTTGTATTGCTTTTATTGTTGAAATCTAACACTTTAATTTAAACATCACTCAATGATTAAATATTGTCATTAGTAATTGTTCATAATTCCATTACAATTAAAGAAACATTACATAAATATCCAACCATAACATCTCCAAACTTGTCATTACATAAAGAACACCATATTTGCCTACTTCAAATAAAATACCTATCCAATTTGAACCAAGTTGTTACAAATTACATACATTAACACCAAATTCAACAATAGAAAACCAACAACAATTATCAACAACTTCATCCACCATCTTATTGACTTTAGAGAACTTTGGAGATTGTTCATCTTTCTCCTCTGTCTAGCTATCAACAAATCTCTTTCATCAACATATTCCTCTAAAGACCACTTGAAAAAGTTGCATCCTTGTTGTTCAGCATCACCAAACTACAAAAATTTTAACCAAAGTCACAAAACCCAAATAAGAAACTAGGGCAAAATAAAATTAATTAACATGCATAACATACCTTATAATTTGGACAACCCCAAAATCTTTTACCGGCATTTGCAGACATCATTGCTGAAGAAGAAGAAAAAAAAAAAACCTTGCCACATATGCATCTACCTGACATTCATGTCGTCCACATTTAACATTATTTGTGAAATTTAGACAAAAGTCTCACATTGATGTATTTTTAAATTATTTGAGACTAAATTGAAACTAAAAATTAAAGTAAGACCAAATTAAAATTTTTAAATATAATAAGGGACCAAATTAGGTATTTAACCAAAAAAATAAATTATATATGAGCATTGAAGTTGGTAAGAAGGAACAAAAGTAAAATGAAAGACCACGCAGTGTTTCATCGTATTTTCTCACTCTGTACACACGCAGTGTTTCAGCAGCCATACCTGCTTATATGTCATAGAAAAAACCCAAATCTCATCCAAACCAAAAACAGACAAGAAGAATAAGATACACCTAAAAATTCTAACAACGTATCTACTTATCAGAAAATATGAGCAAAGATTAATGACCAAGTGGTAAAACAACCGTACTATAACGTTCACATTGTTCAAGTGATCCACATCCAC